CTTGCTCACACGGCTTCACTTCACACTGTCCGAGGTCCTTTATGGACCCGTCCACATATCGAGTCCGAGCGGCGTGGTGGTGTGGCATGCAAGCCGGACTCGATCTGCGCGACCCTGTCCGCAGCAAGAACGGCCAGATATTACCAGTCATCGGAAACAGGACGACTGTCAAACATCCACACCGGTATCATGGAGTCAGATACACACTGGTAGGCATGGGAGGGATCAGAGACGATCGTCACGCATATCCAGAGCGGAAGTGCGCGCGAGGCCAAAATAGCAAAAGCAGTCGCCCACCGTGGGGCTCGAACCCACGACCACAAGATTAAGAGTCTTGCGCTCTACCGACTGAGCCAGACGGGCTTCATACTCGCACACAAACCCGAAACATACAAAATCAAACAAACCGACGCGCTCGCTACCACCCACTCGTCCCAGCGATCGCACACAGCCCACACAGGCCCCACCACGATCCGCGATCGACAGAAGAAGCACTGGTCGGACATCTCGATTCAACGAGTCGTGATCGGCCCAGCCACCCTGTCTCTTCGCACCAACTCCGTCTTGCTCACACGGCTTCACTTCACACTGTCCGAGGTCCTTGATGGACCCGTCCACATATCGAGTCCGAGCGGCGTGGTGGTGTGGCATGCAAGCCGGACTCGATCTGCGCGACCCTGTCCGCAGCAAGAGCGGCCAGATTTTACCAGTCATCGGAAACAGGACGACTGTCAAACATCCACACCGGTATCATGGAGTCAGATACACACTGGGAGGCATGGGAGGGATCAGAGACGATCGTCACGCATATCAAGAGCGGACGTGCGCGCGAGGCCAAAATAGCAAAAGCAGTCGCCCACCGTGGGGCTCGAACCCACGACCACAAGATTAAGAGTCTTGCGCTCTACCGACTGAGCTAGACGGGCTTCATACTCGCACACAAACCCTAAACATACAAAATCAAACAAACCGACGCGCTCGCTACCACCCACTCGTCCCAGCGATCGCACACAGCCCACACAGGCCCCACCCCGATCCGCGATCGACAGAAGAAGCACTGGTCGGACATCTCGATTCAACGAGTCGTGATCGGCCCAGCCACCCTGTCTCTTCGAACCAACTCCGTCTTGCTCACACGGCTTCCCTTCACACTGTCCGAGGTCCTTGATGGACCCGTCTACATGTCGAGTCCGAGCGGCGTGGTGGTGTGGCATGCAAGCCGGACTCGATCTGCGCGACCCTGTCCGCAGCAAGAACGGCCAGATATTACCAGTCATCGGAAACAGGACGACTGTCAAACATCCACACCGGTATCATGGACACAGATACACACTGGGAGGCGTGGGAGGGATCAGAGACGCTCGCCACGCATATCAAGAGCGGACGTGCGCGCGAGGCCAAAATAGCAAAAGCAGTCGCCCACCGTGGGGCTCGAACCCACGACCACAAGATTAAGAGTCTTGCGCTCTACCGACTGAGCTAGACGGGCTTCATACTCGCACACAAACCCAAAACATACAAAATCAAACAAACCGACGCGCTCGCTACCACCCACTCGTCCCAGCGATCGCACACAGCCCACACAGGCCCCACCACGATTCGCGATCGACAGAAGAAGCACTGGCCGGACATCTCGATTCAACGAGTCGTGATCGGCCCAGCCACCCTGTCTCTTCGAACCAACTCCGTCTTGCTCACACGGCTTCACTTCACACTGTCCGAGGTCCTTGATGGACCCGTCCACATGTCGAGTCCGAGCGGCGTGGTGGTGTGGCATGCAAGCCGGACTCGATCTGCGCGACCCTGTCCGCAGCAAGAACGGCCAGATATTACCAGTCATCGGAAACAGGACGACTGTCAAACATCCACACCGGTATCATGGACACAGAAACACACTGGGAGGCGTGGGAGGGATCAGAGACGCTCGCCACGCATATCAAGAGCGGACGTGCGCGCGAGGCCAAAATGGCAAAAGCAGTCGCCCACCGTGGGGCTCGAACCCACGACCACAAGATTAAGAGTCTTGCGCTCTACCGACTGAGCTAGACGGGCTTCATACTCGCACACAAACCCAAAACATACAAAATCAAACAAACCGACGCGCTCGCTACCACCCACTCGTCCCAGCGATCGCACACAGCCCACACAGGCCCCACCCCGATCCGCGATCGACAGAAGAAGCACTGGCCGGACATCTCGATTCAACGAGTCGTGATCGGCCCAGCCACCCTGTCTCTTCGCACCAACTCCGTCTTGCTCACACGGCTTCACTTCACACTGTCCGAGGTCCTTGATGGACCCGTCCACATATCGAGTCCGAGCGGCGTGGTGGTGTGGCATGCAAGCCGGACTCGATCTGCGCGACCCTGTCCGCAGCAAGAACGGCCAGATATTACCAGTCATCGGAAACAGGACGACTGTCAAACATCCACACCGGTATCATGGAGTCAGATACACACTGGGAGGCATGGGAGGGATCAGAGACGCTCGCCACGCATATCAAGAGCGGACGTGCGCGCGAGGCCAAAATAGCAAAAGCAGTCGCCCACCGTGGGGCTCGAACCCACGACCACAAGATTAAGAGTCTTGCGCTCTACCGACTGAGCTAGACGGGCTTCATACTCGCACACAAACCCAAAACATACAAAATCAAACAAACCGACGCGCTCGCTACCACCCACTCGTCCCAGCGATCGCACACAGCCCACACAGGCCCCACCACGATCCGCGATCGACAGAAGAAGCACTGGTCGGACATCTCGATTCAACGAGTCGTGATCGGCCCAGCCACCCTGTCTCTTCGCACCAACTCCGTCTTGCTCACACGGCTTCACTTCACACTGTCCGAGGTCCTTGATGGACCCGTCCACATGTCGAGTCCGAGCGGCGTGGTGGTGTGGCATGCAAGCCGGACTCGATCTGCGCGACCCTGTCCGCAGCAAGAACGGCCAGATATTACCAGTCATCGGAAACAGGACGACTGTCAAACATCCACACCGGTATCATGGACACAGATACACACTGGGAGGCATGGGAGGGATGAGAGACGATCGTCACGCATATCAAGAGCGGACGTGCGCGCGAGGCCAAAATAGCAAAAGCAGTCGCCCACCGTGGGGCTCGAACCCACGACCACAAGATTAAGAGTCTTGCGCTCTACCGACTGAGCTAGACGGGCTTCATACTCGCACACAAACCCAAAACATACAAAATCAAACAAACCGACGCGCTCGCTACCACCCACTCGTCCCAGCGATCGCACACAGCCCACACAGGCCCCACCACGATCCGCGATCGACAGAAGAAGCACTGGTCGGACATCTCGATTCAACGAGTCGTGATCGGCCCAGCCACCCTGTCTCTTCGCACCAACTCCGTCTTGCTCACACGGCTTCACTTCACACTGTCCGAGGTCCTTGATGGACCCGTCCACATATCGAGTCCGAGCGGCGTGGTGGTGTGGCATGCAAGCCGGACTCGATCTGCGCGACCCTGTCCGCAGCAAGAGCGGCCAGATTTTACCAGTCATCGGATACAGGACGACTGTCAAACATCCACACCGGTATCATGGACTCAGATACACACTGGGAGGCGTGGGAGGGATCAGAGACGCTCGCCACGCATATCAAGCGCGGACGTGCGCGCGAGGCCAAAATGGCAAAAGCAGTCGCCCACCGTGGGGCTCGAACCCACGACCACAAGATTAAGAGTCTTGCGCTCTACCGACTGAGCTAGACGGGCTTCATACTCGCACACAAACCCAAAACATACAAAATCAAACAAACCGACGCGCTCGCTACCACCCACTCGTCCCAGCGATCGCACACAGCCCACACAGGCC